TATGCTGGTGCAGAGGGTCCTGATTTTCTCCTGATGCACGACAATGCCCGGTCACATGTGGCGAGAGTATGCAGTTCCTGGAGAATGAAGGAATTGATACTATTGATTAGCCCCCACGCTCGCCTGACCTAAATCCAATAGAACGCCACTGGGACATTATGTTTCGATCCATCCGACGCCACCAGGTTGCACCTCAGACTGTCCAGGATCTCAGTGATGCCCTGGTCCAAATCTGGGAGGAGATACCCCAGGACGCCGTCTGTCGTATCATTAGGAGCATGCTCCGAAGTTGTCAGGCATGCATACACACACGTAGCGGCCATACAAATGACTGAATACCATTTTTTTGTTGCTGCAATGAAATTTCAGCAAAATGGATAGCCTGCCGCAACATTTTTTCACTGTAATTTTTGTGGTGTCTTTAAATTCAGCACTCTCTAGGTTGATAATTTTCATTTTGTTAACATTGTGGGAGAAAAAAACACATTGGTATGGTCAGTTTGATGCAGAATGTGACATGATTTAAGTTTATAGCAATAGACCACATAACAATATAACAAAGAGAGTTATGTTTAAAAAAAAAGGGAAAAGGAACAAATTATCAAATAAAGCCTTTGTGAGCTCAAAGGATGTGGTTCTCAGATCGCACAGTTGTACACAGGTTCAGTCTTATTCTGAATATACTTACTCTGGGTAAATGGAAAATAATTTATTCCCCTCATCAGTCATTTAATTAGGGAATTGTCCTTATTTGATTTGACTATGGTATGTATCAACCCGCCTGGGAGCTCTATGATGCCTGGAAGCCTGGATCCTGCCACCTGTCTGTTCCAGCCTGATCTGGATCCTGTTCTGTCTGTGCCTGTCTGTTCTGAATCCCTGACGAGGATCGGCTTCCTGCAAGACCTCTGGAACTGAAGCACTGGGGACATTCTTGGACTGGACTGTTAAACCAGTAAAGTGACCAACTCAGATAATCATCTTCTGTCAGATGATCGTGGTCACCTGTGTTTCTCCTGCGGAGTGTCTGTGATTGGGTAGTGCCCCGCTCCCCCTCCTGCAGCATCCGCGAGCTACATTTCCTAGAAGCTCCACTTTAGTTCTAGTTTTGTTTTTCTTTAATTAAACGTTTTATACTTTCCTACTGACTGTCTCTCCTTGAATACTGGGTCCATCTGTCCTCGGTTCATGACAGTTGCATACTTAAGCATGAATGAAACTTTGATTTCAGAAGTGGGAGGAGACGCAAATATTTTTTCATATAATTAACTTCAGGGTGTTTGACCGTCCAATAACAGACCCGATTCAGTGGAGCATCATAGTTTGGTAAAGTGAGCTTCTCAGGAGTGACAGTGGTGACAGCTAATCACACAACAAAAGACGGTGGGTCAATCAGGAGCTTGTGGGTGGTCTAATCTCAGGGAAACAGGCTTCAGCTTGAGCTGCGGTTTTCCACTTGGTCCTAGTGCTCGACTAATGTCTGTGTACTGTAGCTAACATTGTTTTTGGTCATTAAAACAGGAGGGGACCAAAACGGATGTTTAAATAAGTGCAGGGGACATGTCCCCCCTGCCCCCCAAAACAAAATTACAACCATGTACTTAAGAGTTACTGAAGTCACTCTTAGTGTTACATACTTTTGCAGCCTAATTATACCTTTAAAAATAACACTGTGCTTTACACAAATATTTTTGAACAAAAAATGTGGGAAATATATGTGATTCTGGAACTTGGACATTACTTGTTACACCTATTATAAAATGGGAAGGATACCTTTAATTTGTTTTATACACCAATTGTTATCTATTTTCTGCTCTAAAAAGTAAACCAACATGTTTTTCTTTGATGGGAAGTTGTGCTACACCAGATATAAGGGCTCTGAAAAAGAAACCAAAGCCAAAGTACTGACCTGCTTCCACATCTAGTATGACAAGCCAGTACTCACGAAAAGTTGTCTCCCTAACAATATAAATTACGGTTGTAACGCTGCCTCTGGCCTTTCAAAGTAAAGGCAAAATGATCGAATGAGTTGTCCTTGCTCCTCTGTTCCTCTGTTACTGTTTTATGCAGCTAATTGGGTGTTCCTAAACTCAGACTATCAACAAATTTTCCTAAGTTTTTGTAAGTATTCAAATTTAACCCTGTGTTTCCAGTAAATCCTTTCACTCCAGGCTGACAGGAGAACACGTCTAGATTATACTAATCTCTCTTGTTAGCCACTTTGCATATGTTGATATAAGTGTTGCAGCAACTTGGAAATTTCTGTAAATAGTTTCTCTTCAAGAGGACAATAAAACACCTCCAGATGTCACTCACTAGAGTTCTTTAAGACCTGCTGTGGATTTGATCAAAAATAATGGGCATCAAGTTCTCTATTATTAATAGTTATTTTTAACTTTTTGTTTCCAATAACTATTTTTTTCACTTTAGCTTACTGATTAAAGAGCACATGCTCAAATCGTTGGCCTTTGGGGGTCTGGAAGATGTTTTCTGTCAGACCTCCACCGGTTTATCCTATGTCTAGAGTTGATCTTACAATGACCAAGTCTTTTACCGGAGTCCTAATCAATCTTAGATTAGACTAGATTAGACTCAACTTTATATTCATTACACAGGTAGAGGTACAAGGCAACAAAATGCAGTTTAGGTCTAACCAGAAGTGCAATAGCAGCAAGTGCAGGATAAATAATGGTTCCATAAGTACAGGACTACTGAATAAATATAGTGATCAATACCATTATAAACAGAATTTTACTAATAGATTTGTTCCATGAATATAATATGTAAATAACTAGTGTTATTAACTAAATTTACAGCCGGATATGTACTGAATATCATATACATGTGGATATTACTATAAATAGGGTTTTTACAGATATGTACAATAGCATAATACTATCTCATTGACTCTTACAGAGATTATAGGCCATGGTTACATAAAGTTATATATTGTTTTAATAAGAGCAGCAAGAATTTAATCGCATTGAATAAACGTTAAAGGGGAATGCTTTTTTTTTTTTTACATTGGGCCCTTGATTTTATGTTATTACATCAGGTTCTACTCACCCATATGAGTTTTGTGTCATTTGGAGCTGTTCTAAAGATATTCAGATGACGTCATACACATGCTGCTTTGTTTTTGAAAAATATAAATATAAATAATATAACCATGGATGTCTGGGGGACAGTGATTCGCCTACATGTTATGAATGCTGGCGTACCATAAGGAATAAATTATGAACAGATTAGTTTGTGCCTTCAAGTCGTTGCCCATAGGAAGACGTTACTTGGATATAACCTAACGGAATATCTTCAGAACAGCTCCAAATGACAAAAAAAAAACTCATATAGGTGAGTAGAACATGATGTAATAACGTAAAATCAAGGGCCCAATAAAAACAAAACAAAACAAACGAAATTCCCCTTTAAGAAAAGCTTTAAAACAGGGGGCTTTTACTCTGAAGGACCAGGGCATCTTTACTACCGTAATTGTTAGTGTTAATGCGACCTATAAAATCTAGTGAACGCTGACTTGACTGTGGTTCTCGAAGTGAAAAAGAGTGTGGGATACAGTGTGCTCTCTGATGGGGGCTTGAGTGGGATTTATGAATAGGGGATCCTGGGATTCTGCGTCACTTCTCTGGCCGCTGTCACCGCAGCTCTCTACCTGCTGACCAGCATACCGCCCTCCCCTCTGCAGGAGCACCGCTGTTCATCCCATCATCCGCTCTTTGTGCGGCAGTAAAGGAGGAGACGCTATCTGTGCTACTGTTTGCTCCTGAATGGGGAGGAGCCAGTTGTGGCTGCACTTCAAACGAGAAAGAGTCGGCGCTCAGGGAAAGGTAAGAAAACGGTCAATGCGCAACGAAAATGATTAAGGTTTGATCCGCCGCGTTTAAGCTGACATTCGGAGGCGCATCCCGACGGGTTTGTTGTTGTTTTCATTCGGGTCCATGTGGGATGCGATGGTGGTAAAGGTGAATGCGACTGCACGTCGCCTGTGAAATCATGCCACTCCCTGCAACAACACGCTGATGCTCTGGACAAACCCCTTCTTAAATCATTCAGATGAAGCTTTAAAAACACGACTTTAACTTTGATGCAGCTGAGAATGCTTTGAAGAGCTGACATTTATCTGCGCGCTTGTGTAACTCATTACATATTTGCTGCACGTCCTCTACAGCTTTTGCTGACATAGGCCCGGTTAAATACTTTTAACTAGAAACCGCAGAATTAAATCTTATCAAAAAGTTTTGAAGGACTGCATTCTTTTTATATATTTCTATTATTCTAAACACAATACTAAGCATTTCATCATAATTTTATATATTCTGGTTACCTAAAAGCTTGCAAAGCATACAGCTATTAGAGTGGAGCAGTATGTTTTGGTCAGGAATTCCTCTGAAAGCATCACTGTGTGTGTATTAGAGTGTGTGTGTGAAGGCTGAGGTCATTCTCATGCTTCTAAAACCCGCATTGCTGCTGTGGGCATCAGTCCAGCTTACAGATATCTTTAAATGCCATCGGGTTTCCCTCTTCTGAGGGTGAAATTCAAAACTTGAACATGAACAGGTGTCACACTGCCAAAAAGAGGAGAGAACCTGCTGTAAAGTTAGGAGGTCATGCCAGGAAGCAGTTTTATTTTCCCCTTTCAAAGGAGGACAGACAGCTTCAGGGCAGAATTCAGATTGTGTAACAATCCCATCTGTCATTGCTCTTTTTACAACACTTGCAATAACATAACATAAACTCTGTGAATTTCATAATCAAAGTAGTCAAACTCTATGAACTATGAATACGAGAATTTTGCTTCCTGTTTTTCTTTGATAACAATTGTAAAGGTATTAATCTCTGCAATTTTCTTTATAACCATGAGGTTCTTGAATATAGTAAAATTATGATAGGTTTATCAATGAGATTTAAAATGGTAAGAGACAGAAGAAAGAGGCATATGGATAACTAGGCCAGCTTGGCTGGATTGAGACAACATAACTTGGTATGGGCCCCAACCCTTGACATCCATATCTCTTGTACTCCTCTTCTGCTTATCCTGAGCTGCAGTCTCAGCAGAGATGTGCAGTCTTCCTTCTTCCCCAGCTCTTCTAGGGGAAGTCTGAGGTGTTTAGTACCAGCTTGGAGACACTGTCCCTCCAGTATGCCCTGGGTCATCCACTGGAGGGACATGCCTGGAAACCTTCAAGAAGGAGTTGTCCAAGGTGCATCTGATGAAGACGTTAGCTCAGTCCTCTCAATGTGGAAAAGAAGCGGCTCCTCTCTGAGCCTACCGTGAGTACCCTGCACATGGCCCAGAGCTGGTCCAGTGTTGGCCCAGTGCCCCAAAAGTTATTCGATCCCGTCCTTGTGCTGCCCTGTGGGGGGCGCTCTAGTAGTATGGAGTCTGGACCCTTTTAATTGGGGCCATTGTAGAGGTGGAGCAGGAGTCTGGTCTGCATTGACCTGTTCTTAGTGCATGTTGGATGCACTGCCCTGTGCTCCTCATAACCTTTATTCACAGGATCTCTTGGAGAAGCCAAAGGCCGGAGGAGGTCTGGTAAAATGCTTTTTTAATATTTTTTTTCATTAAGTTATCATTAAAATAACTTGACACAATTTTATTTAACAAGATAACTTGATATGGATGCCAACTCACACTAAGTTATTTATATTTTGTTAACTTGTGTTTTCTTTGCCTCTTTTAATTTCTTACATGTCACAAATTTAATAACATCAGAAGGATCTAAACTTAATAAAATCCTTATTTTTATTTATTTAATTTTTTTATTTATTATTACATGCAGTTCTTAAATTTGAGAATCTAATCAAAATTTAAATCAAATATATAGTTAGATTGCGCTTAAGAATTGCAACCACCCTTTTAGTTTCCTTTGCTAAAGCAAATAATGAAAGTCAGCTGAAGATACCCTTATAATGCTAATACCTGTGACTGACTGTATTGTTGCATGAGTGATTTTAAACTTTAAAATTGAGAGATGCATATATGCAAAAATATTTGCCTGATTGAGGTAAGGTAAAAAATGTAATATTTGTTTTTTCTTACTATAAAATTGTTCTTTTTCTGTTTTTGTCTATAATGTTTTCTGATGAATCATGTCCATGTCTTTGCTGCATGTTTGTTATCAAAACTGCTCTTAATCAACACGTTGAATCATATCCAAAGATACAGCAAGAAACAAGCTGCTCTTCTGGAAAATGATGTAATTATGATCAGGAAAAAATGTTTGCAAAAAGGGGTTAGTTTTCTTTTCGCCTACAAAAAATTTTAAAAAGAGTGTTTCATATTAACTTTCATATCAACTAAGGGGCGGCAGCTTTTATTTTTTATTAACCACTTTCTTTGCTTGCTAGAAGCAGCACAAGCTGTTCAAGAAATCATGTTGTACAGTAAAACCAAATCAGTATCATTGTCTACGTATTTTTTAATCTATTCTAGTTAAGAAATATTATGAATTTAGCTTTTCAACACTTTAAAATTTATTTGATTTATCACTTGGATTACTGAACACTACTGACCCTAAGAAACAATAGTCTTTTTGAAATCTAAGCGAATATAAGATATCAACTATTAATTATTAACAGTAAAATAATTACCTTTAGACCTTTATCCAGAACAGGGAGAATCTACAAAATATCCTTTAATTTAAATAATTATATGCAGTAATAAACATACAAATCTTAACTCATTGGATGGATGGATGGATGGATGGATGGATGGATGGATGGATGGATGGATGGATGGATGGATGGATGGACCAATGACAAAATAATTGTCTAAGATGTTCACATTAATCATGTCCTTGTAAATTTCAGGAATGTTTTAATGCCAAACATTTTAATGTAGCTGCCGATAATAGATCTTTAACCCTTTAACAGCCTGGTCAACCAAACATTTTTGGACATTTCTTTCTGCCAACTTGTCCCGCCATGGTTGTATAAAACAATATAGAGCCAAATATTGAGACACATATTGCAATTATACTGTCAATGTTAAAATTCCTGCCCCAACTGAGGATCCAAAGATCCTCAGAGAATTGGACATTGAGGGTGTGGTGAGCATTCACCATAAAAACATTAAACTGCTTTCTAGAAAGCAGATGTATAGGAACACGGCTTAACCATTCAAAGCGAAAGTAAACCATTTAGCTGCAGTTGAGTTTTTCTGAGAAGCATCTATGTTGTCATTTCTAATGCTACTTTCCAGAGCTTGTAGTGGAATAACACCCAGAATGCAAGGATCTTATTTCTCTTTGGTTCCTTGTTATTTATGCTTTGAGAAACAACCAAATATTCCCTTAACTGATTGTTATTGATCTGGAGTGGAGGAATGTAACAAAGTACATTTGTCTGATTAAGTAGTTTTTTTTTGGGTGGGTGGGTGG